GTGAAGCACAGGCTATTGGACTCTGGCAAAACCTTGAAAGATCTCTACATCAGCTCTCAGGTAAGCATAAATAAGAGGACAGAATGTCTCATTTTATCTGTGAAATTCTATGTCTTGCAGCTGGGATACAAGTCTGTCTTGAGTTCTTGCAGTGGAAGCCAAGCTATCCTTTCAATTCTTGGTTGGCTACAGAGATTTTAAGCATTTCCTTCAATGCATGCATCTTGAAAACATCAGGACCGAAGAGATGCAGCTCAGCCAAGAGCCTTGGCAGCCTGGAATGCTCTGCAATCTCTCTCCAGCAGGACATACCGTGGTCATTCTCTCTTTTCCAGCCAGTTTACAGCAGAATAAGCTTCTTGGTGTTGATAATGTGGAATAACTGTACACTAGAACAATGGTAAACCTTCTCTGGGTAAGTTGATTAAGCAATGGTATTCGTAATTACATGCAATTTTAATATATATAGATTGGACACGTGTGGGAAATGTTCACAGAACTTCATCTGAACCTTGCGATATACCATCCTGCAAAGGGTTGCACTTATGTTCAGTGCAAGAGTTCCTCAACAGGGAAACCTTCTATACAAAATTACCATTGCATAACCCAAACGCAGGTGGCTTTTGGCTGCTACCAAGTTAGGGTAGTCCTAAAAGAGAATCAGTTTTCATACTCTTGTGTGACTCCAGTAACAAATCTAGAATCCAGCTATGCCATTCTTGCATGACTGATGTCAATAAGATTTCCGCTACTGACTGTGGTGGGGAAAAGTGGAGCTGGGACACCCTCTCAAATGTCCATGTGTTGAAGGCGAGATGGACTTTCAACACACAGCACACTTGCTTGTGAGCCTAATTTAATGAAGAATCTGCTCCACGTTTATCATTTTTATTGCAGTATGCTTGCTCGTGGACTGAGATACCGTCTTGCAGGAAAACCAGCAGCAATAGTTTTCTCAAATTGCTTGCAAATTGAAGAGCCCTGGACTGACAGCCAGGCAGAATGCTTGTTGCCGTACAATAGTTGTTGCCCTCACTAAGCTGCAGAAGGTGTTTCCCCAAAAGTGCTAGTGTCCTTTCACAGGCAAACCTTTAACTTTAATGGGATTATGTATGCTGGAGGATGGTGAACTGGATCACTTAAGTAACCTATAAAAATGCTTCTGTATAGTTTTATCTATTCAGTAAATTATTCTCTGGAGTGAGCGTGCACATCCAAACCACTCCTTTGTCCAGTTCAGATTCAAACCTGGCCTTTTGCCAAGTGAGAAATGTTGCTGTAGTAGCAGCAGCCACAGCAGTGCTGCCCATTACACTGGAATTTGCACTTACCCATCTGTGTTCTCCCCTCTTTCTCAGAGCAAGATGGAGGACTGCTTTGCTCTACTCTTTCCCCCAAACTCAGCAAACATCAGCACGGTTCTGCTAGAGCTCTAATACCAAAGAGAGGCAGCCAGTAATGCTGGGCTAAACTTACTGAACACCCACTTCCGTCTGAAATCTCTGACTCAAGAGTCTTTATCTGAAGAACTGTGTCATTTCCTTGCAATGCTCGGGCCATTGTACCTCTCTGCAAAATAAATGTAGAGGCTTAGTCAAGCCTGGGATTGTCAACTGGAAGAGCTGCTTCCTTCTAGTGCCTTAAGCCCTAGCTGATCATCACTGAGTGCTCTCAGTATTCATATGAGGTGGTTTGGTGTTTTGTTGTTAGAAAATCTGCCTTATCACAATGAAAAGGGTCCTTTTGGAACACCAATCCCCTTTTGTGTCTTGCCTTTGTTCTAGGACTCTTCTTGCCTTAAGGCATTTTTATCTTAAAATGGCTTTAATACAGTTAATTCCCTTTCAAGTTTTAAGGGCATGCTGTCATGTTACATTGGGTTAGGTGAAGTGTTTAACACCAAGCTGCCTGTTGCAAAAGATTTTAGGTAACAGCACTGAGAACACTTAAGAGACATCAAAGACACGTGAGAGACATCAGTGCTGGGAAACGGAGGCAGCCTTTCTGGATGCCAGGAGCAGCCTGAGAGGAAAACATTGTATGAGGGAAGGTATCCTCGGTGTTATATTGTACTGTTAGCTCTAGCTAAAAGTGGAGACGGAAAAGATTATGTTTAACAAAGAAATAAAGTTCTATTCTTAAGAACGCTTTGGTGCGTCCTTTTGGAGCAAAGGGAGGGTAGATCAGCCCAACAGCAGCAAAAAGGTCTCGCTCGAGGTGTTGAGACATGCCAACAAGAGTAAATGCATCCTCTGCTTTTGCTTCATTTGTGGTTACCTTTCAGACTTCTTCAGCTACTGTGGCCCCACCTATCAGCACTGTAGTGTTTCAGGTGCAGAGGAAAAATAGCTGAATTGGTAGTTCTGGAAAATGGATAGCGTAAGAGGTCTGTTCTGCATCCCCTTTATTATGGGGGTGCGGTGCATTGGGTAGCACATCTCTTTCTGCACAAATAGTCCTTATAGCGGAAGTTAGTTGTAGAAGGTAAAGCCCAAAGAGACAAAAGGCAAGGAAGGATAAACTGGTAAGACTAGTAGCGTTGAATACCAGAACAATGTCCTGTTCCCCCATCCCTCTATGCGTGAAAGTCATATAGCAGAGGAAGGGAAACTCCAACAGCTTGGCAACCATCTGCAACTACTTTTAATGTGCAACTCACAGCAGAGAATATCTTTCCAATGAATTTTTATAGGACATGTACATTGGCATTAAGTGTACAAGAAATTAACTTGAAACCAAAGAATGGCAAAGGTCTGGTAACAAAGCAAGATGAATACCTTGACATTTTTCAAGTGTATCTGTAGCATTTATTTGATAAAGTATATAGGGCTAATAAATTACCATCCAGAGTACTTCTGCTGTCTCCTTAGCTATTGTCTTGTTACAATGCATCTTCATTATGCTTTCAACCCTTAACTGCTATGTTGCTGCCATCTTGAGAAAGGAGAAAGAGAATCCCATGGCAAGAGATCTTTCAAGTAGCAGGCAATTCACTACAGAAAAAGCCACTTTGAAACTGCTAATGCAGTCTTTTTGTAACCAGTCTCCCTTGAGGAAATCAGCAGTGTTTGCAATTTATTCCAAGAACTGACCCCAGATGAAGATGGAAGTATTTTTTTTTTCTGTATATATATACACACGTATGCACTTGTTTTAATGTAAACTAACAACAAATAGTTTAATATCAGACAAATCTTTCAGACCTAGGTATCTGCCACAGGTTAGTATCTTCTAGGGCTTCACTCCAGAATTTTCCAGAGAAAATTGCGTAGTGCAAATGCAGTAGACTTAAACAGCATGTCCCACCAGTACTTTAATTACAATGCACATAAGTAGAGGCTACTGCTTTATAAAAGCTAAATCCCTGTGGTCATCCTTCCTGTCCCCAGTTGTACAGCCACCTCCCACCACTCTTTCAAGTACTGCTGTGTGAAGTGTGTGGTGCTAGGCCCAATTATATCCACGTTGTACTCTTCTGAGCTATGGCTCTTGGGACACAGTAAAAAAAAAAAAAAAAAAAAAAATGTTTTGCAGACAGCAAGTAAAGCTTAGCTACTTGAGGTAAAAGTTGCAGCTCACTATGCTGCTTCACCAAAATACCCCTCATAATATGAGCTGTTAGGATTTTCAGCAATGGCAACACTTCACATAACAATAGTAGTCTCTGTAGGATACTGTACTGATACGTAGCATACAATCTGAGCAACAGTCCTACACACAGGCAGGTCAGAGTCTTCACCTGCAAAAGTACCTCTTTGTATCCAATGTTGTATTTGAGGCACTCATGACGGCTTGGGTTAATCTCTTCCTGAGTGGGCACTAAGCATCTGAACACGTAGCTATCATACTGTCTTCTTTCCTGGAGCTAGGACCAGAGCTCAGGCAGCTTTGTCTCCCACCTCTGCTGGTTCACCTTCAGAGAAGCATTAGGTGCAGTTGCTACAATGAATGTTAATCTAGATAAGAACACGGAATCACAGAAAATGCCTACTATTCTTCAAAGCGCAAGACTGTGTCCAGTCAGTACTGTTCATAACACCTGTCACGGGGACCGGTACGACTGCTGTAAGCAGAGCAGTTAACATAAAAGACTCCCTCTGTAACAGCTACTTTTCTTCTAAACTGGAGTAAAGACAGAGACAGCAAAGAAACTAAAGAACTGATATAAATAGAAAATGGTTTATTAAAAAAAAACAAAACAAAGAAAATCACACTTCACTGTGTGGCCAAAGGTTTGATTTTAAACTACATACCCAGTATCTATGCTTCAGAAGTCATGTAAGCATGCATATGGAAGGAAGAGAAGCTGGTGCCTGCTGGCATGCTCCTCAAAACCTCCCCTGGAGTGGTCTTTAGAATATATTAAGTTTGTTAGCAGGGTATGAAGTTTGAATTCCCACAGGGCACTGAGGAAGTGAAGAACAGGTGTCTCTATTTACACATATAGGATTTCCATAACCATCTTTCAAACAGAAATGCAATTCGCTGCATTTCTAACAGCTGTGGAAAGAGTGACAAATATGGAAAAAAATGCAGGTAAGCATGCATACTGCAAGGTTTTTTGTAATTTTTTTTTTCCTAAGACAGTTTACTTATGAGGAAGTATTTCATTTTATTTCACAAGTCTATGCAAACTACTTACATGAAAAGTATTCAAAAGACAGCCCTTTTGAATACTCAATCACCAAGAATTACATGTGAAATGTAGCTTTTGTATGCAGGTTAAAACTTTCCACATACGAACAATGCTGCAATCCTCCTTTATAACAGAAGGGAATGGATTATTAGAATGCTATTCCTAAAACATTCTTCATTTGAAAGTAACTATTTCATTAATAACACTGTTTTTAAATGAGTCCTTCTGAAAGCAAGCTTTCAAGATCATCCAAAAGGAGCTTATATGCATGCTTTGTTTTCATTGCTAAAGTCACCCCAGTGAACACTGCTCAGGTCTATGGTTTAGGTATCTGTAAAGCGTGATGAGGATTCTGAAAAGATTATTTTTTTTATCGAAGAAGCCGCTCAACTTCCTTGGACTTGCTTTCTTTTGTTTTCCTCAGTAATGCCTGTTTTATAGCATTGATCTTTTCATCAAGTTCAGCCAATGAATAGTTCTGCTAAAAGAACAAAATAAAAACCACAATCATTTACATCTTGTAATTGCTAGAGAAGTGGCCTAGCACTTGATACTTGAGGTCACTGCATATTGCACTAAATGATAGAAATCCTTTTGCAGAATTGTCTGAATCTAGTCTACGGCTATTTAAGCTTGAAAGAAGAAGAATGTAAACTTAGAAGAAACTGACAGTCCTAATCATGGATCAATATATCCATGCTACTTCCATTAGATGCTTGCTTAACCTATTCATAAAAAACCCAAAAATCCTTTGATGGTAAAACACTGGACGAGACTATCTAGATCTTGTAGAACCCAGCTCTACAACTGAAGGGGTTTTTTTCTATTGCCCAACATCAGTCTCCTCTGTGCCCACTTAACCTGACAATTTTTTTTATCTCTTCTTACACAAAGAACTGGTCATCATCCGTTTTATAAAAATATTTCACCCTATGGAGGATTTTTTTCTTGTGTAAACAAGCCTCAGATGGCCCACATCCCATTCTAAGCATTCTCCCCAGTCCATCTGTCTCCGAGTGTGATGGCTGGTAGGAGACAGTGTTCCAGCTACGGTCTCACTTGCACTGATGAGAAATTCCCTCTTGTGGCCTAAGGTACACTGTTAATGCATTCCCTTATGCGATGGTGTTGTGAAAATAGTAAGTCTTACTAATTTAGGTTAATATCTGCTATAATGTCAGGTGTTTCTGCAACACTTTTGCTGAGCCAGCCACTTCTACTTTTATTGTCTCTTCATAAACCGATAAAGCAAATAAAAAAAACCCAACACCAAACCACAAAACAAAACCAGAAGCCATTACTAGGAGGCTGATCAGAATTCACAAATTGCTTGTTACCCCTAGCTTGATTAACATCATTACAGATTTATTTTATTCTATCATCCTTCTAACTGGTGAAAACACTAACTAACCTACCCTAGTACAGACTCTTAGAAGACTCATTTCATTGTGACACCCATTAACTTACTTTCTCCTTCCCACCCTTTCTTTGCCAGCAAGCTATCCAATACTGATGCAGCTATTTCTGAGAAGTTAGATATTTGCTTTGTAGAGCTTCTGATTACTTTTCACTCAAAACATCCTAAACTTAAGGTAAACAAAAGTTAACAGCACTTACGTGGGGAGGTTGAACCTTTCTCCTCTTGCCAGAACAGCTCTAAAGAAAAGACATAATCAAAACAGACTTAATGTTGCACTGACAGAGGACCACAAGTAATTCTGTAACAACATTGACAAGAATCTTTAAAGTACAGAAAGAACAGTGACTGCCATTCCATGGATTAAAGAAATCTTTTTCTAATTAAGTGTACTTTGGATCATGAGAAATACTACTGGAGAGCAGTCAGAAGCGGTTGAAGCTTCTCCATACTTGGCAGCCAACAACTATCAACTTAACTGAAGCTTCCTTCAGACAAAACCAAGATCAATATCCAGCTTTTGAAACTGTCAATATTTTTCTCCCTAAAATTCTCCTGTATCTACACCAATATTTATGCAAAACTTTGGGTAAAAAAAAATGCTAATTACTGTACAACACTACTATTGCCACCATCACAAATTTTTCCCAGATCCCCATTCTAGAGAAGATCCTAAAGCACGTTCTGTGGAAATTTCACCTTATGAAAGTGTATGTTTTAACTTCTAGTTTCCAACAACTTGAAGAAATAGCTTCACAAATAAAGGACTTTATTGGTCTCCAACACAAACAAAAAAGTGAAACAAAAATTTATAATATCACTATTGATTTTTAAATGCTGACTCTTCTTCGGCTGCTCTCAAGGGAGAAGATACAAATTAAAATATGATCAACAGTAAAAGAGGCATTCTTACTGTTACATGGGAAAAGAAGGAAGAGCAAGATAACGGACAAGAAATTTCTATAGCCAAGCAGAGCCTGATGTAGTAACAACTAATGTTCTCTTTGTCCTAATCTCCTTTGGTGAACAAAGGATAAGGTTTACTATTCAGAAAGAGAAACAGGCCAGGATGCCATTGGAGATGGCAGAGATGGCAGAGACAGAACTCTGCCCGAAAACTAGCAGCAAAGAAATCTAAGTCATGGAATCACATGAAACAATTTTTAAAGGGTTTACTCTCTCATCCTATTGGAACAGTTATTTCACATAACTGATCTTTAGTAATCAGATCATGGACAGAAGCCCAAAGGATTTCAGCTGATTTAAGCCATTAATGATTTGTATTGAGATCAAAACTTTAGTCAATTTTCTTGTCATTAGAAACACTTTAGATTTTAAGGCGGGGGCAAAGGGGGAGAAATCCAACCTCTATAATACAATTCTTACAAATTAGTTAAGCTCGGGTGGCTGCAATTTTTTTCCCCCAACAAATACTATTTTCTCTAATGAGAAACTAGGTAGAAATATGAACGTATATAGATGGTCCACATGAAATGTAACCATTACACCACGCCAGAGCTGTCTACCAAAAGTGTCTGCCCTCTAACTCCTTAGGGTTTTGCCTCTACATCAAAGATTTAAGCACAAGAGTCACGAATGCATTTAGGTATGCTAAAAGAAGTTGAGAGAATTTCTTACTACAGATTGAAAATATTCAGGAGACAGTCCTTCCAGCTCAAGGATTTTATCTTCAAGCTTCTTAATTCTCTGATAAATGTCTCTTGGTACAGGACCACCTAAATATACCAGTACAAATACAAAGAAATTGGGAAAAGCACTTGAATAACTTTTTAAACTAAAGATTGAAAGTTTTACAGGTGAATTCTTTGAGTCCAGCTATCAACCAGTAGCTGAAACAAAATGAGTGGATGGGATAATAAAAAGGAAGGGTAATTAATATGATTCAGGGTAAAACCTAATTGATAAGCCAGTGCAGTCAGTGAAGGCAACAGACAACTTTATGCAGGTGGCTGAAATACGTCTGACAAGGTTCCTGGAACAACTAATGATCACTCTTACAATACACTGGTCACACACCAAATGTTACCACTTCAAAACTGACAGCAGCATCAGGAGGGAGCAGATGGGATGGCAGACCACACATGAATTCAGTACTGATATCTAAGATTGTTCTGAAGGAAACCTATCTCCACTGAGCATCAGAGGTTAGAGGACAGGTACGAGTTGTGCTTAACAATGAACAGCATTTGCCTGGCCATAGATGGGAGAAGCAGAGGTGGGGAATGTGTGTGTGGAATGGAGCAACAGAGCTTTGGAAAAAACCAACCAACGCCCTCCAACCAACCAACGCCCTCCCCCCTCCAAATAAAACCCAAAAAACCCAAACAAAAAACCCAACAAAACCCACAAAGAGCACAAAAACAACAGCAACAAAAACCCCCACCTCAACCCATTTGCTGTTCACAGCTATACTACAGCAGCTTGGGCTTGTTTCCCCACGTAAGAACAGAACTGATCAAAAGATCAGCCTTAGAAAGCATCTTATTCATACTACATAGTATTCTATAAACTGAAATCACTGTTTATCACAAATAACTACTGGCTATCCCAATTAAAATGATAGTCTGGTTCTGAACAGTAGTGACAACCAAGGCCTCAGCAAGCTTTTACTTCTTCTCTTGCCACCCATTTCCATTTATTTCTAGGTCTGTTAGGTAAGACAATTCTATTCCACAAACTACTGAAATAAGCACTAATGAGTTCTTTTACCATTCATCTATTTCCTCACTTCAGACAGACAATTTTGCGGGTACCTTCCCTCCTTCAGTTCTGCTCTCTACTCATCACTCAGCAGCTACTAATTAAATCAGCTAACCTCTGACTCTTCTTAATATTGCTGTCTCTTAATGTAAAGGGAAAAGAGCAGTACTAGCACTAGACGAAGCTGTTCTGAAAAACAGTAGATGAGTCAAGAACAACTCTTTCAGTCATCAGAAACAAAAAATGGTGAGCAGGTAGCTGACGCAGGTTACCTGCTCAGATGAATACTTTTTGCACAGCTGCTGGGCTAAGTAACAAATAATCTTGAGACTTTCCCCAGGAATGCTGATTTGGACAGGAGTTGAGCTGGAATTGCACACTTTCATCCTCTTCCCCTATACTGTAGTTTAGCTGACCTGCTCCTTCAAACAAAATTATGTCACCTATTATAGGCACAACCTGGAAGCAAGAGCCCCTCCTTAGCTGTCCCCAGTAATTTTCTCTGATATGTATAAACTCCAAAGCTACTACACATTATAACCTTAATGCTGGCCAGCCACTTGCAAATTCTATTTCCATGCACAAAAAACACCTTATTTTTGAGACAGCTATACAGCTAAGAGTCAAGCTCTGACTGCTGCCTCAAACAATATCTAGGAGTATTCTACTCTCCTTCCCGCCAAAGGACTTTGATCCAGTATGCATTCACAGGAATCCACTAACCTAGTCAATGTTCACCATATTCTTAGAGAATGGATTGGCATCTATTCAGTATTCAGAAGACAAAAAAAAGTCAGTGTGTGTCTGTAGCGTGCTGTGTAGAACATTCACTTTATTCGGTGAAGATCTGGGTTTCTGTTCCGTTTTGAAAACATTTTTCAGGAAAAATACAGATTCCTCCTTGATAAGTGCCTCATTGATTTATATTCTAGAAAACTGGGGCTGGGGTGAGGAAAACAACTACTTTAAAAAAGTCAGTAGCCTGGTGGCTATGGCATTTATTTTAGTGAAAGGTGTGGACTCATGTTTGCACGGCTAAAGGGAAGTATTGACAACGACTTTTCCACATTCTGGGAAACAAGCTTCTCACCTAATTGTATTTCAAGAATCATCTACCTTTAGGAAAAGGTTTCAGGTTGTCTTTTGGGTTCATCCTATCCCCAGCCCACAAGGTGTCCATGAAGCAGGACTCAGTCCTAACCTCAGCTTTTCCTGTTCAGTGAGCCAAGGCAGAGGGGCTCCACTGGCTGTGGAGAATCCCTGCCTGTTTTAAATCCCATTCTGAATGCCTCTCTCTCGTTTGCCACCACATCAAGTGTAGATTTACTAACTCAGCATCCTAATTTGGGCATAAAACTGGGTTCCATTTTGGGCATAAGAACCTAAACATTAGATTGTAGTACTTGGGATGACTAAACCCTTTAGTGGATCTATCCACTGTTTTTACAGTCACAGTTTTTATAGACTTGCAGTTTTACTACAGTAATGATAACTGTAGTACAAGCTGGCACACCAATGTCAAAATTAAACCATGATACAAACCTGTTTGTAACCGTAAGTGTGCTTCAATGTTTTGCAATCTCTCCTCAACAGCTTGGTTTCCACAATCATGAATGGGTACATTGGCTTTGTGACTGGACCCATGTACTCCTTCAGATCTAGTCTGAGGTCCATATGTATTTACTACCCTAGAAACTAGGTAAAGAGAACACAAATTTAACATATATGCACATGAAACATGAAGTACATCTAACTAAAACAATCAAAATATTAAAATATGAAAACCTGCATTAAATCAATTTCACTCCAGTTTCTCGCGTGGAGGGTCCCACACACATTAAAATCAAAGGTTCAAGTAGAAGTACTTTCCTACTTTTGTATGGGTGACTAAACTAAAAAAAACCCCTAGGACTTTACATATGCAAAGTAAAAGAATTACTCATACATTCATGTAGAATGGCAGTATCAAGAATTTGTCATCAGCTGCTGATAAATAGCAGAAAACCTGCTATCTATGTCAGCAGTTGCACATGTGAGCTGTTGTGAATGCAAAGAAGAGGCCAGACCTAGTATTACAGGAAGCATCATAAATACATGAAGATGAGGGGAGGTATACAACTAAAAGAACCGCTACGAATTTCAGCAAGGAAGTTCTCTTCTAATTTTTGTTATTCGGGTAACAGCTTTAATGACTCTTCAGCTGCTTCTGGGTCTATCTTCTCCCCCTGCTGAACCATGTCTTCATCAGAAGATTTTGGTCACTTGTCTTTAAATCACGGTCATTTCTCAAGTCCTTCCTGACAGGACTACCGCAGCGTACTGCACACTTAAAGACGACGTTGGCAATTCCAGACACTGAAGCACACACCTTCTTAGCACTTCATGAAGACCACATGTTACATTCTTGCTTCAGCTTATGCTGGTTTTACTTCCAATTCCTTTCTAAGTGTTACTCGTATTTCAGTTATGAACTGTCTGGGTTTTAGTTACTGGAAGTGCAAACTTTTCTTTTTTCCTGTAATATGCTACTATCCAAGTTACAAACTAGCACTCAGTTTAAAAAAGTGACTACTGAAAGGGGTTCTTGGTGAAAGATTCTAAACTCAAACTCACTTCCCCACCTCCCTCTTAGCTCACCAAACCTTTTAATGCTTATACCTATCATCGTGCTTCACAGTATTCTAGAATTCAGAATAATGAATTGGTTTCTAGAACCAGTATCAAGTGGATAACTGAATACTACCATTCTCAAAAACGGAAAAGAGGGTTACTTTCATTCTCATTTTGGAGATTTTGTTTGTTTGTTTTTAAACACAGAGTAACTTGTGTACGCCTAGAGAGCAGTAGATGGACAAGCAATCTTTTATGCATAACTTCTTTTGGACAATCATTTCTACACTACTTACTCCTTTCCAAAAGGTAGTACAGTGGTAAGCTTGCTCCCCAGCTTGTCACTTCCCATAAATCTGTCTCAGAACTTCCACTGTGTCCCAAAACTATTTCCTAATTCAATATACTTACACCGACTAATGAAAAGGAGAAGATAATTTTATTTAATCTCAACTCCTTAACTGGACTGCTGGCTTCACCTTAGAAGAAAAGCTAAGAATTGTTCAGCTTCTCTGCCCTGCTTTATCTTTTGCATCTTTCCTTTCAGACAATGAAAATGGCTACTTTGTTTTGGTCTTCAGTGCATAACCATCAGCTTAATGAAGCAGTTATGGGATTGAAAGCCTCGGAGAAGTAAGTGAAGATGAAAAAGTATTCACTAGAGTAAAAAATCAATACATTAATTTTGCATTTTTTGCGCATTCTATAAAAATGTTTTAAGTCAAAAATTCATCAGTGCTGTTCTACCTGGACACTCTCAATATATGGATATTAAAATAGTTGCTTACCCTTTATATGGCTTTTAAATCCAGGATAGGGTGTGAAAATTGCATCTGTTCTGGCACAGCTATTTTCTAAATAAATAATAATAATATAAAAAGTGAGGTCCTAATTATGTTTTTATAATTTAAAATATTCTAACCATCATCAGCTTTGAGGCTTTTAGCAAATCTAATTAAAATTTTTCATACAATAAAAACATCAGAAATACGTCATTCATTCTATAAACACTTGCTCATTAATACTGTCACACACTTGCATGGACCTACTGGTTTTAATTGGATAAGTCACTTATTTAAATGTATGCACACGTTTATATAAAAGTTTATTGGATCAGGACCAAATTTCTTCCAATTTACATTTTATTTGGTTCTTACTTTTCACTGTGTTTCTCTAACTTATTTCTTTCTTCCTGTACAGAAGTCTTTTCCCTGCTTACCACTGTTATTCTGTTTTTATGTCCTTTTTTGAAACTGTTCTCCTATTTTTAGACTGGTCTAGTTTACTCATCAGCATTCTTTTCTCACCTTCCTGCATTTATTCTGATGCCTGCGACTTCTTTCATTTGTTTAACCAAAAAACCTACAGTACAGACCATCTTGGTTTATTCTAATGTTTATATTTTAATCTCTGTTCATATACACCAAAAAGTTTTACGCATATTTTATTATACCTGAACATACAAAGCAAGGTCTTATCATCATTTCTTCTGTACGTAATTAACAATTTTAGGAATCAGTATTTTACTATCTAGCATATTCTACTAGACTTCTGATGTCATTTTCATTCCAACTAATATTCAAGGAGTTAAACTCTCTTCCTATAAAGCTTACTGAACAACAAGCTTTGATCTCTAAAAGCCTAAGCACATCACAGAGACAATGCACATCTGGGTTCACAGGTACTTAGAAAATGTCTCTGTACTACTTATGTACATAAAAGTGTCTTCACTTTTAAGACGCGTTTGGTTACACAGTTACTGATCGTGCTAATGGGATCCAGCCTACCAGATGGATTTAAGATCTGTTATAGATACAGCCAATTGTGCCAGTTGGTGCATTAAAAACACCAATAGCGTGAGTAATGTTGAAAGGAAAAAGTTATTCTAAGTAGCTAGCAATTCAAATTGATTGCAAAAAATACTTCTTTGTAATTCAACTACTATTAAATTAACTTCAATTCGAATATGCAATTCACAAGACATTTCTGAACTGCAATTCTGTTGACTTTGGAAGTAACATCTAGCTAAAACATTGGGAACAATAGCTGCAAAATAATCTGATTTAAGATCTCAGTTCTCAAAATGAGCACAGCAATAGCTATAATCTTTCTGTATGGGATGCATTAAACAGACAAAAAAAGAAAGTAGTCAATCTGACAACATCTGCAGAGCACATGCAAGTTCTTAACTTTAAAACAAAGTTATGCTTAAAATAAGTTCTGTTTTCAATATAGAATAGTACTTTTGAAAAATAAAAAAATAAAAAAACAACTTAGATTGCTATGAAGATTAAAGTCTGGCTAGCCAGTTACCTTGATTACAATCAATAACATTGCAAAATTCCCTGACAAAATTTTCATTGATCGATCTCAGCTTGTTTTCCCTCCATGAAGGCTGATATCCGCCTGTCAATCTGCAGGTAATAAACATGATGGCATATATCTATTTCATTCTTTAAATTTAAAATTTAGAAAGGTCTTTTTTTTTTTTTTAATTTAGGTAAATCACTTACTTCTGCTTTTCCAGCTTTTATTTGGACCACCTCTGGATCAAAATTAATATGAGCATCCTTCAGATCTCCCAATTCGTAACTTGCATATTTTTCTTCAGTCTGACAGTTACCATCATAAACATCTAAACTTGTTTCACAAGTTTGGCCTTCTGTTTTACCTGCAGGTTCAACATGGCCTATATTTTCCTCTTTAATCAATGACTGGAGTTTTTCTAAAAGAGGCTGAACAAAGAAAACAGTATGTTAGGGTTAAAAAAAAAAAAAAAGCCAAAAAATCCCCAAAACAAAAAGCAAAAAGCCAAGTACTATTACAATTTCTAAAACAGACCAACTGAAATAATTTTAGGAATTACAACATCTGCCTCTGAAGGAAAACAGTAATAAAATAAAAAAAAAAAAAAGCAAAAAGCTATCGTTCCAATACTGTGCACACCATGATTCTGGCCTTTTTGACCTGTGCCTTTTAGAGGTTTGTATAAGAAAACTCCCAAATTTCTGCGAAAATCTGCCTGCTACTAGTCTGTTACTAGCTAAATCAAAGCATCAATCGTTGGCACCAATGCCACTTAATTAACATGTCATTCAAATGCCTACTCAGAACAGTAAGGCTTAGTATTTTCCCTCCTTAACATGAAAGCCAATGCTTTCACACTGTAAAGCCTTTACTTTATCACCACAGCACTACATTCTCCACTTGAAACTGCGGTTGCCCAAGTGAATGAGAGAACACAGACATGAAATATATAGGTGTTATCCTGAACACATGCTTTTCTTGACACGGTTGATTATCTACTTAGGTCATGAAATTAAATGAGAGAATGCACTGACATTTGTAGCAGCAAAAATAAATGCTTATTATTCTACTGCAATAACTCTTACACACGATGTAATAACAAAACCTCAGTACATATATATGTCACACACCCTTTTTTAATTTTTACCAGTTTCATCTAGTCTGAATTCCGCTGCTTGTTTTCCCCTCTAGAAATGATTTTTTTTTTTTTTAAAGACAACATGATTTTTACCAGTCACATTTCATGAAATGGAATCAAATTCCTACTTGCAGTGTTCTTACAGTTGGATGTAATTTTTACTTGCTTTTATCCTGCATATTTTCTCTTTTTATCACACCAAAGATTTGGTGGATGTCTGGAAAACATAAAGGGTCTTTCTTTTACCTACAGACAAGCAAATACAAGAACTTCCTTTTTCACCCTGTCAGTACTACACACTTGAAATAATTCATTGACTAGCTGAAGCAAAAAACTGGTATTCAAATCCCCACCTTTTACAGATGAACTATCAAGGTCAAAACACTGTTCAGTTACCAGCTGACAAACTGCTCACCCTCCCTGCCATGCAACTAAATTACATGTACTTTTGGCAGGGTTGGAAAGTTTCAAATAGTTAAAAGAAATGACAGTAATGGTGACTGGCTACTTGGCAAGATGAAACATTAATGTCAAAGAAATTACTCTTTAAAAAAAAAAAAAACTACGCTGAAAATATATTTAATTGCAGTAAGACACTCCAGGATGTGTCATGCTGGGATAATGCCACTTCTTGAACCACTGAAAGCACTCCATGAGCCTCAAAACTCACCCAACGCATGGAATCATTATCATAGCATGACACACACCTGCCGTGTCTTATTGCTTAATTATAACCCACCATAGATGGAAATGTATCACATTTACAATGCAAGTCTAGAAATCAATGAGGCTGCATTTATTCAGCCTGCTCACCTACAGTGGCTATTCCCACCACTAATCTGAAAAATCTGTAAGTGTGAGTACCTATGAAATACCTACAGTGGAATCCCAACCATATAATACTTTTGCATTCTTTTTTGTGGGACATAGCAACATAAGATCAAAACGACTGAAATTTTACAGTTTAGATAATATAACTACATTCAGTTGTTGATCACTTTTGTCAAGTCAAATGCGTCCAATGAAATATTTACCTGCAAACATAAAATATGCTGCTGAAGTGCACTAAAGAGCAATGTTGGCTGAAGTGCTGATATGCTTTGAAGCTTGCTCCAATCAATTACAACTTTCACGATATCGTCTCCAAGGTTAAGCTTCAAGAGGGCAAAACAAACACAACAAAAAATTATGTTGTTATGTTGTATTAATGTCACAAAAGTATACAAGACTTCTACAGGACAACAACTATGCTCAATCTCGTATAGACTCCATTTTGATATGAGGACATTGGAGAGTTTTGACATTAATTATAATGCAAGCAGCTGTCATTTTCAAAGTAAGCTAGTATTTGTAGAGTATATTCAAAAATGAAAAATTCCTTACTACCTCATCACATTTGCATTGTATTAACTTGATCTTCAACTTCAGTCAATTCTCAATTCAATTAACTATCATACGAAAACATACTGTTCATGTTAACTGCTCAAAACTTTTCTTTTAACAGATGATAGAACCACCAGTAGGAAGAAACATGCACCCAGGATGGCAGTCTCCTGTAAGTTCATGTATTTTATACTGAGATTTGCAAGGCTATCTATGCCTGTATGACCAAGGTCTTCATACTGCACCATGCCACATTCTTGAAATTTTTACCTGCTGCTAATCCAAAGAAGGCTTTATATTAAAAATAAGTGTTCAAAAAAAAAAATCTTTAAAAAAATCTCGAGGTTAAACAAACTCTAGACTACACAGCACCGCTATCAAACCCATTTCCAAATCACACTATTTCCCTTTATATGCGTTCAGATCAAAATAACAATTGCCATAGTCTATTCTCTTTGCCAAGGAATTGCAGTATTTAACTCCCAAAGCAATAAAGAGAAACACACATAGTGAATCTGAAGTTTTATTTAAAGGAACTATGTATCTTCTATAAGCTAAAATTAAACTTTCACTTTCTAATACAAAGCTGATTGTTAATAATCACTAATGAACTACACACTTTCACACCCACCTTTGCCATTTTTGTTACACTAAAGCTCTTCTCAAGATCTTGAAGTAACGAGCACTTTCATTTCCCAAAGCCAAACAGGTTGCTCTCCAACCAAACAACCCGTAAATGATCCCCCAAATTCTGAATACAGCTAAAACTCTTGTTTAAAATCAAGAGGACCTACAGGTACTCTGAGACACAGAATTCTCAAGTCATATGCATATGTACGTCTACATCTCATTCCTTTCCAAAAGAAAAAGAGACCTCAGGCAGATGACAAAAGTAACCTTTAACATACGGTCTAAAGATATCTAACTTCTAACAGCATCAGATATTATGGACAAGAACACAGAATGCATATGCACTTGTTTCCTGAATCCACCACACAGTGTATGAGGAAACAATGAAAACTAAACACAAGAATGCCTCCATCACTCTTAAGGCAAAGCAGTGGATACTAAATTGTTCTACATTAGTTTTAAACCCCAGCATTATCACAATTTTGTGTGTAAAGAACTAAGCCTCAGCCTTCCTTCTTTAGTCAAAGAACAGCCTTGTTAAATCCAGTGTTAGATTCCAAATTACATAGCAAAGGAGATAGTCTGACTAGATATATAATGTATTTTAGAAAATTTTCACACAAATAGTTATTCCTGTTTAGTACTTAAACTACATAGGATGTAGGAAAAATAATGTTTTAGGAAATAATAGTTTTGAACACCTTACAAAAATCAAGAATGTATTTAGAATTTAATAAGAATAAAACTTGAAGAATTAAGCCACTGTGCATATGTGATCATCTGAAGCATGTATTTCTTCCCAAAGTTTCTAGAGTAACATCTGCTATACACAACATTACAGTCCGCTGACAGGGTAGAACAGGCGTAGATGTAAGTCATCGTAATGAAACAAAATAGGAGCCCTACTGCAATTTCCTACTAAGCCTTCTTTTTCAAAAAGAATCAGCTGTTGTGTGCCTTCATATCATAGCGTGACTCCTGTCCAGGTGGTTCAATGTACAAGAACAGTAGAGCTTCTGACTTAAATAATTTAGAGGCCAGTGATATTTTAAACTCACAAACACTGTTTTTAAATATAAGTAAAGAATAAACCCCTCCTGCATCCAAACATGTTTCTAGAACAATAGAATTAGTTTTCTCAGTGTTTCACATCCTTCTACCTGTAAGAACTGTGACAAGCAGGTTTATAAATTCTGTGATTCGGTAACTTCAAAACCTTTGTATATTTACAAGTCCACAGCCTATTCTGCAGCAATTTACAGGATCATAAGTAATTTCAGCCCTTTGAAATTGTTTTATGAAAGACACTGACTGTCACTTGGGGTTTAAAGAACTTTTCACGACCAGTCATATCGGTTTTAAGAGTTGTTATCTCCAGATGTCCTCCTAGTCACTATGCTGCAAGCGACTGCTCTAGTAAAAAAAATCCTGTGCCAGAAATATTCCTGTTTACAGTCCGACCTGCTAGCATAAATCCAACTTAAACTACTATGACGGATCACAAACTGTGACAGCTAACAATCTGGCACATGTTCACTCATCTCTATAAAAGGGAAATGGGGAATCAGTAGTTTCAGTCAAAAATGCAAGACGTATTGCTAGAGTCAGTAAGCTGCTAAAACACCACAGTTAAATCTACCAGAACTCAAGTGCTGGCAGACAAGAGCGTAACTCAACAACTGGAAACAATCATGACTTCTCAGCTAAGATGGAACAACCAGACCGCTACTCATAGTTCAGTGCAGTGCACAGTAAAATGGGTTTGTTGTCATGGAAAGAATACACTCCAAACGCCAATGGAGACAATTTTACTCTGCACCATAACTACTGTAACTCTACTGAGGGAATGTAGCAACTCTAAACTGGTCTGTTGCTATCCGCACAATTGCCTGTGCCCACCCAAATATTGTTATAAATCACTAAGCTCTCTCCAGTGAAATGCTAGACATAGAGCAGACTTTGGAGAACAAGTAAGCTACTGAAGAGGAGAGAGAAACTAGAGTGTTTAATGTAGTTTTGAAAACAATTAATTAAGCTTGTGATGAGTATTCTAGTTAAGAGCTTAGGAAACTTCTCCTTTATTATTCTTTGTGTTTTTCATAAATACAGGAGTTCAATTTTTCACTCATGCTAACACTGTAAGAACAACAGTATGAATGACAGCACCACATCTGGATAAAATGACAGTCACTAGTTCTTCACTGACTACATTTAGAATTTTCACCCGGAAGAATTATGGGATAGTTCGTCCTCAATACATAGTTTTCCTGTCTCAGTAATCCTATGAATCAGCGGTGTATGATCATCAAGTTGTTTAGCACTCCACCCCTGTTCAAAAGCTAGGGTAGTTTTTAATCACTTTAGAGATAGGAAAACTGAGACTTTTACTAGTCAACGCCTGAATTTTTAGGCTCTTAATTTTGGATGACTTTTGTTTGAAAACAGAGACAATTACTAGCAGACTTTGAGCTCAGAAGCAAATATTATACACAATTCTATTCAGATGAGAGGCGAAATGCTCTAAAACATAATTTCAGATCAATCAGCAGCTACTACTAAACTGCCTCTGCATATAACAGAGTCCATTTCTGAGTATTTTTGTAACATAAACATATATTAAGTTATATTATCTCCCACAGATATTGCTCATCATGTGGCCCCAAACCTTCAAACTGCTGTCTAATTTCAGAAGCAAGAGTGTGCTTCTACTGCCTTCTCAGAACTACATATATGCTTCCAGAGTGGAAAAGGAATTAATCTGTAAATTATTTATGGTAATAATTTTAACTAAAACCTTCTCCTGATAAGGGCCTCCCACCAGTACCGTAATATCTGTTAAATAATTCATAGCCATTACTAAACCTAAAGTAGGTGTTTCAACTTAAGTACCACAGAGCAAAGCTGCTTTAAAAATTCTGACCCACTGAGATGCACTGTGTGTTTCATAGTATGTTACCAAGGCAAGGCTAACTTCAAGCTCCTGATCATTTATTTTGATTTAATGTACAGTAATCTTTTAGTACCTTTTCAATTCAGAATCATTAATTGTTTGGATACAGCAATTAGACAGACTGCAGTTTCTCATGGGAGAGATCATGCGTCAAACTACACAGTGACATGAGACGTCCCGTCAGCAAGAAGCAAAGGCACGGCCACGACTATGAGATGCAGCAGCAGGCCACGCACCCTGGGGCTGCCCACGCCAGGAGGGATGAAAAGCAGGATCCTGCCCGGGCCCCAAGGCAAGGCCTCCCCCGTTTATGGCAGGCTTCTTTTCTCTCCGGCGCCGTGTTTTATCCCTGGAGGCCAGAAGGGCCCCGCAGGCCGGGGAAAAGCAGGAGCAGGTCCTGCCCGGGCCCCAAGGCGAGGCGAGCCGGGCGCGGTGCGCGGCCCGCGGCCAGC